AGCTACATTTACTTTAGCTGTCCTTTGAAAATACAGATCCAGCTCTGTTAATGGAATCTGACTTGATCACAGCCAAAAGTAATATGCCTACAGGCAGGCCAAAAAAATATTTATAGCCCATCATTAAAATGATTTGGGAAACTAATATGTGTTCTGTGTATACATATTGTACCTAATTTTTCTCCGCAACAGATGCTTATCGTGGATTTTCTGTGCGTCTGTTGCAACCAAAAACAAGGCAAGGAAAAAATCCCAAACCGACATTATTTATTACATTGCCATTGAAAAAAGATCATGAAAGTAAGTTGTAAAAATGATTGGGCAACATTAAACTTGTGCTGCTGAGTTCACAGGCTATCTCAGGGGACTCTGTGAACTCCTGCAAGCTCTGTGTGCTGGAATCTCATGCATGGTTCATGGGCACTGTCTTTTGTTTTTGCAGTTTACAAATTAGTGGGCTTGAGGGTAAGATAAATTATGAATGGGGGGAAATTTCAGACTAGCAAAGAATGTGAATCTTTGTGGTGAACTTCAGTACTATTGTTTCTCCTGTCATGTCTGAGAACTTTTGAATAGCAGATCTCAAGATGGGGAGCAGGGGGTAAAATTGCCACCAGAATGCATGTGTAAATATAGCTATGTGAACCTTTCAGACAGTTGGGGTTTTTTCCACTGTCAACTGTAGGTTTGGTGTGACTGAAATGTATAAATTGGTGTCAGATTTACAGAATTGTTTTGCACAAATCCCTCTCTTCAGGAAAAAATGAACACATCTCCTTTTGGCATTTCCTCAGCAAAACATTTTAATTCTTTCATTATACATGTTTTGTGAAATTGTTTAATTCAGTTTAGTTTAACCCAAATCCCTTAAAAAAATATATCAACAATAAAGCAAAAGGGTTTTTTTTGGGTCAACCCCAGCACATTTTCTCTATTTTTTCTCTTCAGTTCGTCAGAAAAATAAATAAATTGAAAATATGTTCTTATCAGGTGGAGCCACATCATGTGAGAAAAATGTGCTTTATTATCTACTGGAACTGCAAGTGAATTAAAAATCTGTTATTCCCTGACTTTGTGTGCAAGTTGTGGTCTTAGAATTAGGTCAGATGACACAGCAAAGTGGTATGAGTCCAACTGCACATCATGTCTTTCTCATTTTACAGAATAGAACTACTCTGTCCTGGAGGCATGGGGCAGAGGGGAAATTGGGGCCAGTTTTCAAACATTTAGCATTGAGGGTTACACTGGGATAGCTAAGTGGGAGCTGAAAATCAGGCCAACAGAGTCATACAGCGGGAAAAATGTTTATTCCATTAAAAAAGGTATAAATCAGAGTGGGCCAAAGCACTTGAAGTCACTGAATCCTCAGGGTTAAAGCTTTTCATTTTGTTTCAAGAAAGGGAAGAGAAGCAGAGAAAGAAGATGACTCTTGCAAGGATACAACCTCCGATGTTGCTAGAAAGTGCGGGAGAAATGGTCCCGTGCAGTTCCCCAGGGCTGCAGCTCTGCAGCTGCCACTCAGGACTTGCTGGTGTCCCAAGGGTGGCAGCCCTGGGGGGAGCGAGGGGGCCCTGCAGGAACACTCACAGAATTCAATTTTTTAAAACCTTACAAGACCAAATTTACAGTAAGAAGCAATGGAGAGGGCAGAGCTACCCACTGAAGCTCTCTGAGGAGGTATGCAGCAAGCGGAGATCACCTCTTGTGGAATAAAGCCCTCCTTCCTGGCTGGTGTGTTTAAAGTAAAGCCATCGGCTGTAATGCCTCAGCATGACCTGGCACCAGTGCCAGGTGCTCTCGGTGGTGGGTAACTGGATTCTCTTGTCACAGTCCTGTGAAGGTGCTGGGAAACCGAGGCAGCTGTGGCAGAAGAGCTGTGACACTAGCCTGTATGAACAGAGCTTTCTCTCCTTTCCTCCATCACCCCCTTAGCACTCATCTCAGTAACACAGCCGTCTAAAGCAGGAATACAACTCCACCATGGGGTAACATTTGCTGGGCTTCAGGTTTCAAGTTCATGTAGGAAATTTCCGGAAATTTTTAAAAGACAAGAAGCTAGGGTACTATCCCTTGGAATTGGGAGAAAGAAAAAGGAGGATACAGAATACACTAGAAATCCCAAGAGAGATGTCTCAGCTGAAAAAGTGGCAGAGAGAGGAAAAAGGATGCTGTGGATGCTGTTACCTTAGCTCCTGCTATATAACAGCAAACTTCAGGACACTGCAGTTCATCCTTCAGCTAGGTGGTGGCTAGATGTATATAATTGCTGGAGTACTCTCAGCTGCAGCATAATCAAGTACCTGCATCCCGTAATCTACAAAGTTGTAGAAATCCCTGGGGCGCACAAAGCTTCCAGGTGTTTGATCTGCATTTGATTCTCCCCTAAAAGTTCTCCTCAGTAAAGTTAAAATACACACACATGCCCGTACACCACTTCCACAGTTTACTTGTTACAAAAATAGAAGGAACATTTTTTCTTCCCATCAATCATCCCCCCCAGATTGTTTTTTCTGTCTAGGCAGGGACACTTCTCCGCACTCGTGCGGTGTGTAGCTTGAACATGGAGTCAGAAAGGGAAAAGCAGCCCCTCAGGCCTGAACGCTTTTCCTGGACCACTGCAGCATCTTCAAGGACTGGACATAAGATTTTTTTAACCTGAAGTTGCCATTGCCCAGGCTGCGGCCCTCCAAGCATAATGTTTCATCGTGCAGTAGGTTTGGCTGATGAAAGTGTTTGCTAGCTGGAACTTTAACGATCAGTGTAACGATTTGCCACACAGTCTCAGCAGGCTTACCTTCCGGTTTTTGTGTGCAGCAACACTATCGCTCTAATCTGGCTACAGAGGTGTATTCAGCACCAAATAAATTCTCGCTTGCTGACTTTTTACCTCCTCTGCAAAAGCCTGTGGCTTTCTGGAAATATCCCAGAAAGCATCTCTCTAGGCCCTCGCAAAGGCTGGTTCTTGTAATGCAGTGTACGGCACTGAATTCCAGCATAGCATTAGGAAACCAGGAAGTACCCAAAAGATTTCCTAGGCCAGTGTGATCCAGTGAAAGGCCCTATTTGTACTGCCACTGGGATTAGGACCATGAAAGCATGAGACAGTTCTGTTTGAGAGGAAAAATGAAGTTTAATGCTTAGCAACTTTATCAACTTCTTCCATATCTAACCGCTAGAGGGAATGATGACAAAGTTTTGTTGTTTAGTTGAAAGTCACACTGTCCATTTTGTGTATCAGGCATGACTTCACACTGCCAGCCCTCCGTTGTCATGACATGCCCTATCCACAGTAGCAGTAATCCTTGGTTTGCTCTAGGCTGAACTCCCCTAGGCATATAGTGAGCTTGCTGGAGCACTTACTCTTCCTAGTACACCCAGCTTATCATGTTTCCTTTGCATGTGAAAAGATGCTAGCAAATAAAATCTTATCCACAATGCCAGGTAGTTTTGTTAGTGAAAGGCTAGGAATATGTGTGGGTGGGTATTGGAAGAAAGATTTGTTGCCAGAAAGAAGGTTTTCTGTCCTTGCCATCGCTGTGTTGCTGGATTTCTCACTCAATGTTTAGGAAAGTCTCAGTTATCCAGTCACAGAAGCGAAACACTGCCATGGTACGGAATACCACGTCTGTGATCTGAGTGTACCCGAATCCAGGTATTACCCATTCTTTGGAGCTAGGGGTCCCATTACCTGTCAGAAGTCCTTCTACTCCCTGTGCAGTTCTTCTGTGTGTGTTTCACTGCTGTCAAAATCCCAATCCTTATCCTGTCCAGATGGGGATGCTTCCCCATCTGAATCCGAGACAACCAAAAGACTGACTGAAGCCCTGGGCAACACTGGCAGCCCCATATCGGATGCTCCAGCACAATATGTGACATATTTCATAAGGACAAAGCTTCCTTGTTCAGGGATGGGGATTTTGGAGGGTGGGAAAGGATGCCATAAAGCTGCAGACCCTGCCCTGGATCTCAGAGCACATCAGACCTCACTGTTTCCCACTGCAACAGCAAGGAGCACCTTTTTGACCCACTTTCACTGATGAGAAGTCTAATCACAGCACACATGGAGAGCATCGACAGGTGACTTTTTGGCAGGGAAAAAGCTGCCTTTCAGAGGTGCATCCTTAATGTACTCTTATAAGATGATCAGACCTCACTTGGATGGACATAGGGCAAGAATTTGAACAAGAGTGCAGAGAAGAAATTTGAAGCACAGAGATGAGGGGAGATGGTGGGAGACCAGCTATTTGGAAGCAAATCTGTTAAGAAACATGCTAACCTTTCCATAGACACCACTAACAAGCACTGATTTCATTTATTCAGGGGGTCGCAGTATTTACGTGAAGGAATATTCAGCAGAGAGATGTGTTGTATTTCTGGCAGAGTGAATACTTCCAGGATACCAGAAAGCAGCCTTAAATGTCGTAAACATACGAATAACCAAGTCTCAAGACTGAGTGCATATATATCTATGGTAATGGAGTAATGAAAGCCAGCTTTTTACTGTGTGCTTTCTGTAGATGATAAGGTGATCCATATGTTTTTGTGTCCCACAATTCCTTTCAAAGCAGACATCTTAAACGTTGTAATATAGGTACTATTTGAAACTCAAGCTGGCCTAATAAGACAATTGCAAGAGTGCATAAACCACATGCTAGGGAATAGCAATACTGTAGCAAGATAAAACAAGCAGAAATATATAATTATTCATATTAGTCAAACATGCAGCCACAGATGGCTTTTCAATTTGCTGTGTCACAAAAGAAGCATTTCCCACATAATATTGTGACTGAAAATATTGATAGAAGTTAATTGCTCACCCCACTTCCAATCTAAATCATCAGCTGTAATTATATTAGCATTTTCTGCCTGTTTCCATTGACTTTATAAGTCACAGGTCTCTTGGAAAACATTTAAAAAGTGGTTGTCTATTTGGCAAAAGTATAATTAATTTTTGATATTCTAAATTGTAATATTTCACTGATGTGTTGTTATTTTGACAGGTAACATCTCTGGAATGACATCTACAGTGAAAAAAAAAAAAGATTTTTAAGCTTTTGTTGTAAAGGACTGCCTGACAGGATGGGGAAGTGGGGACATCCAGAAGTTTGAAATGGCAGCTTATATAATGTGAGTATGTGACCATTTCCAGGAGCAGCAGAGTAGAGATGGTACTGGAGCTACAGGCATCTTCTTATGAAAGCCGTCCTGGAGATGCATTTGCCCCTGCTAACCCTTCATAGTGAAGTTCAAGTGGAAAACAGCAGAAAGGGAGAGGAGCGTTTGCCCTCTGGACATCCACAACACTGAAGCAAAAACATGAAACAAAGGAATTTTGCCTGAGATGTGGTGAATTTGGCATTTTATTTGCTACTTGTGTACTTTACAATTCTTACGTTTTCTCAAACGAATTCCATGTTTCTTCACTCCATGACAGCAGATTTGTATACCCACCTCAAGAAAGGAAGTGCTGCCTCAGCAGGACGTAAAGGAATATGTAACCTTCTCAAGATTTGTTGTGTGGGTTCAAGCTTGTGCGGCTGATAATTTTAAAAGGAACATTTAATAACTGAAGCCAACTCCTGCAGCCAACAGCACCTTGCAGAATGATCATGCATGTGTTATTAGAGAGCACTTGTACTAGGGAGCACATGCAGACACCAGTGAGGTTGGGCCCCTTGGTGGGGGCTACATGGGACTGGGGACCCCTGTCCCTCAGGCCTGGAAAACTGAAAAGCAGGACAGAAGAGTAAGACAAATGGGGCATGGTAGGGAGGGAAGGTAACTGAAATAGGAAGTTTTAATACTAGGGAATTAAATTCATTGAGAACCTGTTTCAGAGAGGTTGGACTGATTTCTAGAATCATGCTGAATTTGACAAGTAGTTTGGAAGACAGACAACAGGGTGGTATTTTGAAACACCAGACCTTTTCCCCTGGATAGCTGCAAGTGGAAGGTTTTGGCTTTTCATGTTCATTTAAAACAGGCATGATAAAAAGCCATATTTGCAGGGGCTAAAGAACATGAAAACCAAAGGAAACCTTGGATTTTGGACTGAGTGAAAAGGAGTTTCTGCCCCGCCATTTGCGAAAACATTTTTTTTCAGTCTGAAACTACCTCTCCCCGTCTTTCTTTGCCCCCTGATTTCCCAGTGGCCCACTCACCGACCCCTCTTCCTCCTCTCCACAGCCTCTTGGCTCCACTTAGCACAGGCTGGTGATGGCACTTTCACGCACAGAGGAGGGGCAGCAGTCACAGGTTGGTGTGAACAGTGTGCTTCATGCCTACCTCCAGATGTCTAAAAGCTAGGCATGTAGCATGAGCTCATCGCTCTAGACTCCTTCTGCGGCCCCTAAAGAGAGACAAACTTCTCCAGGGAGTGTTTCCTCCTCCCTCTCCTTGAAACTCCCTCTGGTCATGATGGGGAACCCTCTGGACATGCCACATGTCCCCATGGGCTACAGAGGGGAGCGTAGAGGCCTTTGGGAGGCTACAGTCAGATGGTGCATCCCTCCCTGGATTAAGACTGCTGAAGTGGCAGTAGGCAGGAGATAAGATGCCTGAAGGGAAGAAAACTGAGGAAAAGTGAAGTGATGGATTAACAGAGCTTTTACTCATGGTGTTCATGTGCTTTTGGAGCACAGTGACTGAAGCTGATTTTGCTGGTACAATTTTGAGGTTTAGGGGTGTCACCAAGGAAGATAGATCAGAGGGGTGAGCCTAGGGCTGGGCTGGGGAGATGCTGAGAGCATAGGTGGAGGCCGTATGAACAGCAAGAGGCTCCAAGGCTGAGGGGCTTTTTTACTTTTACTATTCATTTCTCAGTTTTCAATCCTTGCTCAGGAAAAAAAAGCAGCCATGGGATTCAACTTAATAAGACTCATTGGGCACTTTGTATTAGTAAAGGATTAAAGCTTTTTCACCAGGCAGACTGCAGTGGGCAGATAAGAGCCTGGCTCAGGAGGTGACGGTGCCCTCTTCTTAAAGTAAAAGGCCAGAGCTTTGCAGATCTCTGAGCACTTTGTTCCCACTGCAGGTGCATTGACCCATCACTCACAGTCCAACACCAGCCATTAGTCTTCTGACTTGTGCACCGACTGTGGGCAAAGGAACTGTGCTAAGGATCGGGCTGGGATGTAAAAGCTTAACAGCTTCCCCCCAGACCTATGGCTGAAGAATTTAGCCGTAGGTAATTTAGTTTAGTTGTGGAAATCCAGAACTAGGAAAGTCTAAAGTCCAGCTGTTCCCTTTCTTTAGCCTGGGAGTCATGTGCTACGTTTTGTAGGGTTGAGGGGAAAATTTCACCTGGGTGCCTATCCCCTGCCTTGCCAATATACCTTTCTTTCATTTGTGGGTGATTTGGAAGTGGAGATTTACTTTACTTCCAGTCCAAGAGGAAAGCAGTATAGAGATAAATGAGCTCTGTAGCCTTGTAATAATAATAAACTAGAAACTCCCCCCGCCAAGCCTGCCGTTCCATGTAGTCATGACCAAGTGGTGCCTTGTGCAGGAAGCTGAGCAACACGCAGTCTCCAGAAGTGTTTCCATGAAGATTTTAATCTGCGTAATCTAAGGAGCTTTCTTACAATAAACCATTGAAATCGGCTCATCTGGTCCCATTCTTGTGTTTAGAATGACTCTTCCTTCGCATGTGCCTGGAATGTTACCCGGGGCCTCACCAGACGCCCTGTTTGTTGTTTCGTGTCACAAGTCCGTTCTCAGCAGGATTGGCGCTCCCAGGCCTTTCCGCCTGGGGCTTCCGCCTACGCCAGGGAACGCTCTTGTTTTTGCATGCTGCCGTGATACATCTTTCAGCTAAACCCAAGCTGGCCAGCTAGGATTCCTGTTTGGACTGGATGCCTGATAAATGGACTCCACTTACCCAGTCAGAGTGGGATTTCACTGCCCCCAGATCAGACAGAATTAAAGACATTTGCCCTTTTGCACTTTGCCCCTCTAGCATGGAAATGGAGGTATTGCTTTTGCTAGTCAGACAGGCCACAGTAAAAGACAAAATATGCAGAGTGTTAAATATACTTAACATCTATCCAGGCATGGTCTGTTAGGAAGGATGGTCAAAAAGCCCTTCAGCTCTGTCTCAGGGAGGATGATTCCTGGTTTGAATCAGACAAACGAGCATCTGCCCTGGGCATTTTAGAGTAAAGTGGTTCTAGACAAAAATCTACAAATGTTTATCTGGACACATAATTTACTGTCTCCCTCATTCAGCAGTTGGCAGAGGTCCCCTGCTGACCTGAACAGAAACCGTCTAACTCCAGTGAGGTCTCTATATCTTGGCCCCACGGTAACGGGTGCCCAGAAACTCTCCTAGTTACGTCAGCGTCTCATTGCCTAACGCTCTCGCGCTGGAGAGGGAATCTTAGCTTTATCAGAGGCACGAAGCGGAGGGCAGAAATCTATGGGCAGTGTAGGTTCAAAGGGCGCTCTCCCCTGTCCTTTCCCCTAGTAGGCCATAACAGCAAGTTAGACTGAAAACAGACTGTGGGCTCGTAGCGTTTTAACATACAAACCAAATAACATAATTGCATAATTGTGGCATAATTCTATATGTCAACATGGTCAAAGTGAAATAAAGGTGGGACCAGGCTGAGGCGACGTGCAGCTTTTACGTATGTAAAGAAAAGCCAGGGATCCACCTAGCTCGTCCCCTTCAGCACAGAGAAGTAGGTGTTGGATTTTCCTGTGATTTGGCATCAAGTTTTATGCAGGGCAGATCTCTGCCAGCACAGAATCACAGAAAACCTACACTTCTTTACTGCTACAACTCTGAGGTGTATGTCATCACTTCCAAAATTGCAAGTCAGAAAGTAAAGAAGAAAAATGAAAAAGTTTTGAATGAAATAAAGCATTCCATTCAGATTTGGTCAGTTGTGAAGATTTTTTTATAAAACAAATAGCAAAGGACATTTTATAACAATCATTTCTCATTCAAAAAGCAAAGTGTTTAACTTTTGCAAGAATAGAATTAATTTCCCTTGACAGCAGCAGTTTGGCACACTGGAGACAAGTTGTGAAATATTGGTGTTATTGAATCCTCATTTTTTTTTGCTTTAAAAGACGGGGGAAAAAAGTTTTGAGTGAAAAAGTCGCTCTCTTTTCTGTTCCTGTCAAACACACAGGCTGTGTTTGCAGACTGCATGCCAGATCAGAGCCTTGACAGTGTTTCACTACCTTGGTCAAGTGTGAAGTCTGAACTGTGAGAGCAATAAATCTGCAAATCAAAACTGCCCTTCCTGAAACTGAAAGAACTTTGTTGCTGGACAACACAGTCATACACTGGTTTTCTTTCAAACCACCGTGATAAAGTCCTCAAGACAAAGGTATTTATTTCAGGATTCCTTGGTTTAAGAAAACTTTCAGTGCACAGACCTCGTACAGAGTGAAATACTGTTTATAGTAAGCCGAGGCAATACTGGACATGGGTATGGTATTTTTTCCAAATATGAATGATCTCTAATGCTAAAAGCCTCTGAGTAGGGACAGGGCTCAAATCATTGCACCCTGATATTAAAAGAAATAGCCAGTCTATAGAAATATCAGGCCAGTTACAAAGTGGCATATCGGAGGCTTGAGGTAATGCTCTCCCCATTGTCGCAGCATGCTGGTGCGGCACCTCGCCTGCTCAGAGCTTTTGTTTGCACAGGAAGATGACTGCATGGCTGTCCTTGCTCCGTGGCTCCTAGAGTTTAAAAAAAGCCTTCCCTTCATGAATCACAATGTGCACTCACCAGCCAATTATATCTGGCTTCCAAACTGTTTACTCCAAAGCTGATATATTCTTTCTCCCACTGCTCTACCTCCACCCTCCTTTTTGTTCTTTTTAAGGAATAGCCAGGGCAACCAGGACAGAGTTTCTAAAACTTGGTTGTATAAAATAAACAGAAATTTTCCATCGGGTCCTGTTTTGTGCTGGGATGCACGTTAGCGCCAAACTCCAACCCTGCTTAGACTTGGCTAATATTCCCCAAAGGTTGCCTCTTCAATGCACAGCTCCTTGCGTAGGCTTCCCAGAGGCTGGCCCAGGCCGGAGCCCAAGGGTTACCCCTGTGTCCTCCCTGAGCAGCTGGGACCACTGCAGATCGGGGCAGGTCACTGTTTGTAATGTTGTTAGTAGAGTTTTGAAAAGATGATGCAGGACAAAATAAGAGAATCACAGAATCACAGAATGGCCAAGGTTGGAAGGGACTTCTGGAGATGATCTAGTCCAAATCCCCTGCTCAAGCAGGGTCCTCTGAAGCACATTGCACAGGATCACGTCCAGACGGGTTTTGAATATCTCCAGAGAAGGAGACTCCACAACCTCTCTGGGCAACCTCTTCCAGTGCTCTGTCACCCTCACAGTGAAGAAGTTTTTTCTCAGGTTTAGGTGGAACTTCCTGTGGTTCAGTTTCTGCCCGTTGCCTCTTGTCCTGTTCCTGGGCGCCATGGAGAAGACTCTGGCCCCATCCTCTTGACACCCTCCCTTTAGATATTTGCATACATTGATCAGATCCCCCCTCAGTCTTCTCTTCTCCAGGCTAAACAGGCCCAGCTCTTGCAGCCTTTCTTCACAGGAGAGATGCTCCAGTCCCCTAATCATCTTTGGAGCCCTCTGCTGGACTCTCTCCAGGAGTGCCATGTCTCTCTTGTCCTGGGGAGCCCAGAACCGGACACAGTACTCCAGGGGAGGCCTCACCAGGGCTGAGGAGAGGGGCAGGATCACCTCCCTCGACCTGCTGGCAACACTCTGCCTAATGCACCCCAGGATCCCATTGGCCTTCTTGGCCACAAAGGCACACTGCTGCCTCATGGTTAAGAGCAGTGAGCTTTAGTAGTTAAAACTAACAGTTTGTGTTTGGAAACAACTGAAAAAGTTGGAGAGAAATAAAAGAGAACACATCTGAGCGTGAAATAGAACATTTCTGCCGTGACTTTGTGCAAAGCATCATACTTTTTCTATTATAAAAATGCAGTGACATGAAATTCCTAAAGGGATTCCAGAAATGAAAAGCCATTTTTGAACCTGAAGTCCCAAATGGTTTGTTTAGAAAGAGCTTAATTAGAGTGTTTCTTTTTTCCAAATGCCTTTTGTAGTGCTGTTTCTCTCCTCCAAATGACTGTGGCAACAAAATCAACATGAATTTGCAAAGCAGTTTGTGGCCTCCAAATCTACATTATTCTCTTACTTACATCTGTTTTACAGAATGCTGTATACAAACTCTGCCTCACACTAGGAATGGCCGAAATTTTAGCATGGCCTGTTCTTGAAATGCTTCCAGACTGACAATCTTACACAGACAGTTCAAGTCACATTCTTTACCCAAATCTATGTCCTTGCTCTGCAAAATGTTGCTAATTCCTCCTGGGACTAGGGAGAGGCCTTATCACTCCTCAGGAAGAAGAGGCTGGAGGCTGGGTGCCCCTTTGCCCCCGCTTCCCTTTCCACCCCTCCTGTCCCTGCCCTCCTCCAGGCTGAATGTTGCAGGGGCCCACACGGCGAAGCGCTCAGGCATGCGGGGAGATCTCCAAAAGCTCTTTTTTTTCAGGCTACCTGCAGACTCAGACAGACATCACTGCAGTAATTGCACTCAGGTGGCCCTGCCAGGGTCACCCTGCAGTTCCCACACAGACCCACATCTCTGGCTCTAGGGCGGATCTGCCAGGCGTATTTTGTCATGACTGAGGCAGACCTACTGGATGGACGACCCCAGGGTGGCTTCAGGAACTTGAGCTCTGTGAGGGAGGCCTCCAGGGTCTCCAGGGCCTCCCCCGGGGCCAGGCGCCTCGTGAGCCCACTAGTGCCTAGCTACTGGAGATTCAGTCTGCACAGCCCTGTCATGACACCTGTCAGCCCTGAACCATCCCAAAGAGACCCAGGGCCTCTCCTGTATGTCATGCTAGCTCTGCAGGACCTAACCTGGTTGCTGGGTGGCTGTTGTAGGGCTTTTACAATAGAGACTATTTTAGAAAATAGGAAAGTTTGGTCTAAAACCAGGAGAAAAAAGTAAGGAGGGAGGGAGCTCGGGAAGGGCAGACTGGAGTTCAGGTAGGCTTTCATTCCTGCTTTAAGAAGAATATGATTTCAAATGGGAACTGCTCTTTTAGCTGGAGTGCAAAATGTTTCTGTGCTGAGTCAGATTTCTTTCTCGGAGATCAGTTCAGGAGTAGCTGTCTGGCCTGATCCTGCCAGCCTTTCCCAAATGGGCACCCATCTGAGTGAGAGCTTTGCATGAGGAAGAGTGTGCTGCAGGACTGGGCTCGCTTTGCTGTATACCTGGCATGTACTGCAGTGCCTTGGTACGTAGCTGTCACTCTCTAGGCTGCAATACAACTGGGATGTTTGCACAGCCCCATAATTGTCCCTTTCACACATTTCAGATTTTATAGCCCTTTCCTTCGTGAGGCCTACCAGATGTCACTAGCACTAGCAAGTAATAATAGGGGGACTGATTTTTCTGCTATGTTCCCCTGAATGAGAATTAAAAATCAGGACTAGTCAGATTTGGTCTGTGAGTCTTTGCAGATTCTGCAGAATGGGAGAGTTCAGGCTGAGCTCATTCTGCGCTGAATATTAACCTTGCAGAAATCAGGGCAAAGCCTCTTGCTGTCTTTTAATGGGGCCCAGATCTCATCTTCCTGTGGTGTTTGGAACATGTCTCTTTCCAAGCTGGCTTATTCTTTTTTGCAAGCTAGGATATCAGTTGATCACTGGTTAAATGTGCCTGGAGGAACGGAAGTGTTGGAAGACTTAGTTTCTGGGTGGTAATGTCCTGACTTGGCTCTGGCCCTACAGGTTCTCTGATGTGTGGTCTCCACAAAGCAGGAAAAGGAGATGTCATTCCATTTGCTATAGTCTTTTCCTAGTGACAGAAATCTTTGACCATACTTGAAGAAAAGTCAATCAAAAGAAAATCAGAGAGAAATGGGATTGGTTAGTATTTTTCATAGATATGTTGGCCATTTCCGCCCCCTCCCCCCCAGATCATTTTGAACTGTCAGAAAAATTTACCAGGCT